AAAAAAAATTTAAAAATAAAACAGTAACTTAACTGCCATTCTTATAGTGTGTATGTTATATAATATGCATATATGTGTATGTTAAATACACCAAACAAAATAGTTTAACAAGAATCAAAAGGATAAATAACTTATTTCTACAGGACCATATATATTATTAAAAAAAAAAAGGGGGCAGTTTTCCCTAAACTAAATGACAGACTACTACAGATAAATTAGCAATGAAACTTTTTTTGTTTTTTTTTGACTTAAAATAAGCAGCCACTGAAATAAATGGAATGACAACATCATTAACAATCATTTCTCAGAGGGCAAGTCTAGAGAGAGAAAAAAATGACAGTGCATTTTAAAAATGGCACCTTTGGTGAAGGAGGTTTATTCTCATCATCAGAAAATGAAAAAGTGCGAAGCTCCCTTTTTCTCCGTTGTCTGTCTGGAGGCAGCGATGTAGATATCTCACTTTGGGTGGGAGAGGAAGAGCATGACTTTTTTTCAGACGTTTCTGACTCTTCCTGTAGCTCGTCCTGTTGCTCAGATGTACTGCCCTCACTTAGGGAATCATCATCGCCTTCGTCTGGATCATCCTCATCTTCACCTCCACTTCCCTAGAGGAAATGGAGGGAAAAGTCTCACTGAAATTCAAGACAAACCAGCTCTCAGGTCACAAAACCACCTTCTATTGAGCAGGGATCTGAGTTAGAGAGGCCTGCAGGTGTTCCTTCTGTGTCTGGACTACAGAGCAGTAAATCTCGGCTTCTAGACAAGACGGTACCTCACAGATCTCATACCTGGGGCGAGCCTGCTGGGGTGTTATCAACAGATGCAGAGGAGCGTTTCTTCTTATGGACAAAAACATTTTTCCGTCTCTTCCTTCTCTTACTGGCTTTTTTCAGGGCACACGCTAAGTTACTATGCCCACCAGGTGGCCTTCCGATTCTTTTATTTTTCTTCTTTCCATAATAGTGTGCTAAATATGAATGACAAAGAAAAATGAGACAACTTCATGACTTCTGTACACCTTGCACTGCAAGAGATTCTACTAGCACAGCAGAAAACAGGTACAGTGTATTTGATTAAGGTTAAACTCCATCCTGTGGAGTAATCTCATCTGTCCAGATCTTAAATGTACAGTATAATTAGTACCAACAAATGCATAAACCTGAATTAACCTTCCCCCTATGAAGATACAGAATGTCTCCATCAACCTAGGAAGTCCCCAGGGTCCCTTCCCAGTCAGTCCCCCTCACCAGAAGCTACCACAACTGTATTCTAATTTCTGTTGGTATAGATTAGTTTTGCCTCATCTATAGAACCATTCAGTAGATACTTTTGGGACAAGGTTTCTTTCACTCAGCATAATGTTCCTGAGTTTCACCTATGCTGCAGTACGTATAAATAGTTCATTCTCTTCTATTGGTGAACAGCATTCCACTGTATAGAATATACCAGTTTAACTATCCTCCTGTTGACAGGCATCTTGGCTGTTCCCAGGTTTTGGCTGTTATTATGTGGCAATGAACATTCTTGTACAGGCTTTTGGTGGGCATGTTTTCACTTTCCTGGAGTAAAACTGCTGGACCAGACCATAGATGTATGGAACTGCCAGTTTTCTAAAAGGGTTGCATAATTTGACATCCCAACCAGCAATGTATGAGTTGCTCTACACCTCTGCCAACTTGAAGGACTGTCAAATCTTTTTCATTTTAGCCAATCTAGTGGATGTGCAGTAATTTCTCATTATAGATTAGATCTGCATCTCCCCGGACGAATGGTATTGGCATGTTTTCATGTGCTTATTGGCCATGTGTGTATCTTTTTTGTGAAGTGCCTATTCAAGCCTTTTATTCATTTTTAGAATGGTTTTCTCTTTTTGCTTCTTTTTTATTGAGATATAATTCACGATATAAAATCCATCATTTTAAAGTGTACATATTCAGTGATTTTTAGTATATTCAGTATGTTGTGTGACAATCACCACTATCTAATTCCAGAACATTTTCTTTTTAATTTTTAAAAATTGAGGTAAAAGTCGCATACAATTAACCTATGTTCAAATGCACAATTGGTGGTATTTAGCTTATTCACAATGTCGTACAACCACCAGCTTTCTGTTGCTGCCACACTTCTCTTACTACTGAGTTGTGGGAGTATTTGCTCTATTCTGGAGAGGAATTCTCTGAGAAGTTTTTAATTTTGGTGATTTCTTCCTTTATGTTAGTGCATCCTCTCTAAGAAATCTCTCCTTACCCCAGGATCTTGAGGCTATCTTATTTTCTTCTAGAAACTTTATAGTTTTAGCTTTTTACATTAGGTCTGTGATACACCTTGAATTAGTTTTCATATACAGTGAGGTAGGGGCCAAGGAGTTTTGTTCTTGTTTTTTTGATTTGGAAATCTAATTGTACCAGTACCATTTGTTGAGAGAATTTCCCTTCCCTGTTACATTTTTCATCTTTGCTGAAAATCATTTAACCACATAAAATTGGGTCTATATGTGGGCTCTCTGTTCTGTCCCATCACTGTGTGTAACTATTTAATCAATACCCCACTACTGATAACTAAACCTTTATGGTAAAACTTGAAGTCAGAGTAAGTTCTCCAACTTTATTCTTCTTTTTCAGGATTGTTTTGGCTATTCTAGATCCTGTGCATTTTCATATAAATTTTAGAATACAAAGACAATTCCAAAAATGAACCATATATATTCTAATTTTAAATATGTATGTTACCTATTAAGGTAGTAACAAAATAGAATGTAATTTTTTGTAAAAAATGAATTCTAAAGTATATAAATCCATTTGGTATCACTCAAATTACTAACTGGGAAAAATTATAAACACTCTCTCCAAAGTCTAGGCTTATATCATTACGAAAAATAAATTTAGACAAAAAGCATAATAAAATCCACATATCTTCCATAAGCTCAAAGTGACATACATGTATTTAGAGAACAGATATATTTCACTTAGATACTAATACCTGCAATATGCTAAACTTAGTGCTGAATTTGACACAATAATAAGCTAAGACAATCCCTGCTTTTTAGTCCAACAAATATAAATAGAAACGACAAAGTTAGGCTCCTATATGACTTTGTGATTCAAACATTGATTAGCAAGCTCATCATGCTAAATGATCTCAGCTCAGCAGCATCAAACACAGTGTCTCGGAGCTCACTGGAAAAGCAGACACATTTAGATCCCAGATACCCACAGACCTGATGAATCAGAACTTTGATTTTAACAAGATCCTCCGCTGATCTGCATGCATGATAAAGCTTAAGAGGCACAGGATTAGAGGTCCCTAAAAGAAGTCTTCAAATTTAACAAGGTAAAATCTTCCTCTGTATTAAGTCTCCCAAGTGACATCAGGGCTTGTAAAATTTAAGGAAGGGTAGGATCAGAATTTTGTTTTTGGGCAACAATGCCGTGACAAGGCTCCAAATTGGAAATTTCATCTTGTGTGACTTTTTTTTTTTTTTTTTTTTTTTGGGTGCAGTTTCACATGGGAGAAGATAAGCAATGAGAGGGAACAGGTGTTGTTTTGACAGTTCTGAGTGAGGCCCGCAGCCACCTCCTCTCCAGTTATTGATGCCTCCCAACTACCCAAGCTTCTGTGCTGCTCCGGGCAGATGCGAGGCGCGCTCTGGCTGCCCCCTGCCCGGAGCACTCTCACCCTGCGGTCTACATAGCTGGCTCTCTTGCTTCCTTTGGCTTGACACCTTGCATGAAGACCTCTCTAGCCATCTGTGAACAGCAACCCACCCTAGCCTTCCTCACACCCCTACTTCGCTTAAGTTGCTTCGCTTTTCTCCACGGTACCTATCTCTATTTGTTCACTTGTTTATTATCTATCTCCCACATTAAAATGTAAACTCAATGAGGACAGGAATTTTCTTTTTCTTTACTGTAGCATCCCGATCTCAGTGCTAGAACAGTGGTGGCACACAGTAGACACATAATAAATACTTGCACACTGTATGAATGAATTACATATCCTATTCAATGCAACAGCTAATTTATATACATACTGTATGTGAAAGTTAGCAAACTTGGGCTTGTGGGCCAAATCTGGTTCATGGCCTCGAGCTAAAAATGGCTTTTCCATCTTTAAAAGTGTTTTTTAAAAAGTAAAAATAAAACTGAGAAGAATATGCAATAGAGATCATCTGACCAACAGCCTAAAATATTCATTATCTGGCCCTTTACAGAAACAGTTTGCATACCTCTGCTATAGGTGAAGGTCTGCAAAATAAAAACTTTCCAAGATATAAAGTATGGCCAGCTTTATAGTTAACAAGTTTGAGAAACCTGACTCACTATATTTGGTCTTTGTAAGCACAGAGCAGTTCTCAGAACACTTGTCCAGAACCATCCGTGGGCCGAAGAGATTAGGACAGCACTCCAGTTTGATGCAGGTTTGCCGGCAGAACTCGGTCACCCGGTCCGCTGTCTTCACTACCTCAACAGTAGCCCGGTAACTCTTTCCTTTGTATCTGCCGTGGAAGATGCCAGACACAAAGTTTACTGGGCTAGTGATTACCCAGAAAAAAATCAAGTGCATTCAAAGACCTGAAAAATATCTTTGCTTTTCAGAAGAGTCTATGCCCTTTATAGTCTGAGGATTCTGAATATGAGTTTATGCATATTGTACTTAAATCAAATTTATCACTTAAGTAGCTATGACAGCTAAGCACTGAATTTTTATAGTAGCAAATAAGACTCTTGTTTTCTAGTTCCTCAGTTTAAGGTTTTCACATAGGTGCTTCTACACTAACTACTAAAAGCAAAGTGACTTCTAGGAAGTCTTTCTTTACCCTTGGGCAGTGATCCTCAGAGTGTGGTCATGGACCAGGTTGACCTGCTAACTGTCCCCCATCCATGCATGGCAAGACCAGGTCAGAAAACAAGAGCAAATGTTTTTAAACTTTCACGGTAATTTGCAAAAGTAATTTTATGGCTCTTAAATCTAAAAACAAATTATTTTTGTGTTCTATGTTCTTTCAATTTCCTATTTCTTACACCTCATTTTTACCGTATTTTATAACAGTGCTGGCCTACAACAGGATAGAAACTTAAAAAAGAAAACAAACCTGGTCCTTCACCACAAACAGTTGAAGAACTGTCTGAGGGAACATAACTACTCTAACATTATTCATGAAAGAAGGAATTCTATGGCCCATTAAAGACAAATAAGAATAAAGGGCAGAAAAGTCTACTCACTTGGCTTTTAGGACCTCCCCACATCCATGCCACACAGAGTCTTTGTCTAGCTGCAGCTCCCGAAGGACACGACTGGGTTTATAGGCTGCATTGATAAGTAAAGTGAGGACCTGTGCTCCGTTTTGAAAGCCGAAATACGGGTTGGGAATGAGAAAAGCAGACCATTAGAATCTTGCTATCCCCCAGAATGTCATTTAGGAGATCACACTCTCTTAGACCTTCAAAACATTATTATGGTCAGGAAGAAATAGGCACCATGAATTAAAAACTACTCTGGCATATGCTTCTAAATCCTTTGCCAGTCATGGTATACACAGAAGCTCGGCCTCCCCAGACCCTGCCCTGCCATCCCACAGACTAAAAATCCCAACAGTCTTTTCAGATGTTGTGCGCAGCGCGCGGCGGCTGGCTGGAAAGCTCAGGAGGTACAGCCGGCGAGCAGCTGTCTCATGGTCCCTGTGAGCGCCACACAGCCTCTGACTCCCAGACGATGCCCCTGCTCATCCTTGCACAGCGCTCAGGTGGCCTCTGACAAAAGACCTGTCTATGCTGGCAGAGGTGAACCTGCTGCTGTATGTGGAGAAATGCTTAGGTGATATTCCCTCGGAAGCAAAAGTAATGATGTGTCTGGTTTGTGGAACAATACATAAAAAGAGTGAGCTGCTTCCAATAACCCCAGAGTTGCCACATTTATGGAGGGCGGATTCCTGTGTACACGAGTCTCTGAGGCTGCTGTGAAATCCCCAAGTTCTCTAGCCCGAGGCAAGAATCTCACCTCTCTGAGGACTAGAACACAGTTCCCAGGTCCTACACATTGAGGCAGCTCAGCGATTCTTCCTTTGTTCAGATATGGCCCTGAGAAGCAACGGTGGTTGAAGTATATCTTTGGACAGCAGTATTTTCCATTGATCATAACTGGGGAGTGAAGAGAAATGAATGTTTACAATGGTCATTTTCCACTCTGTCTTTCCAAAATTGGGTTACTGGGTGGGGGGGGAACAAGCTTATCCACCATTACATATTCTGAAGCTTAGGGTTGTCTGAGTGCGTCTTGAAATGCCTTATCCTTATGACAGCTCCATCGCGGAGCTTATCCCTCTACCCACATCAAGCACCGACCTGAATTATCTGCAGATTACCTTCAGGGTTAATTCAACACTGTTCCAGAGTCCCACATGGCTATCAATAAAGGAAGTGAAGGACTGACTTTAAGAACCCATGGTGATTCTTGATGATCAGCTATTCAATAATCTATTTTGGAAAAGTTCTAGACAGTGATAGTGAATCTTTTCCAAAACTACAGTTTGTCCCCTTAAAACCCACCAAACTAGCATGTTGGCAATGTTCTTTCCATGAGGTGGATACCCTCCCATGTCTGGGACTCCTCAGAGGGCTGAAAGTGTACTATGAACACATCTCTAAGTTCTTTAAGTACCGTGGGGTCTAAGTGTGCCTAGAGACCCCTCTCTTCAACTATTTTTCTGTGTGAATGCTATACTTCAATGTAATGGTTTTTTATTCCCTCATCATGGTTGTCAATTCCGCTAATAAATAGGAGAGACTCAAAGACACTAGCGAATCTTCCTCTCCACATAAAACGGAGAGAAGCCCTGCTGATGGACACCGGTGGGGAAAGGGCACGTGAGCACTGCCCACTGCTGACGGGATCCTGAAGCACACAACGCTCCCTGCGGAACTAAGGATGTGGTCTTGGCACAGAGATCAGCAGGTCTGTGCCCCCTTCTCGACCTGAACTATGCCACCCACATCCCCCTCTTCAGGATTAAGGCCCATACGCTCCCCGCTGCTGGCAGTGTTGGCAGCTTATGGCTTCCAGCTGTAAGGCATCCCAGAATTACCCTCTGCCTACCCTCTCACTAGGAGGCACCCTGCCCAAAGTCCCACTCTATGTGAGTGGGCAGGGAGCAGCAGCCCACTTCTAACCACTGACCAAAGAGGGAGTACAAAGGTGTGGCCACCACCCCTCAATTAGGGACAACTCCAAGTGGCCACGCCAGCTAAAAGGCTCCCCCGCGGGCTGGAAGAAACTTCTGTTACATCCGCACTGCAACTCAACTTCTCCCTTTGCCCAATCCTGCTTCCTTTACCTTCCCGCACCCTGGAGTTGTTCCCAAAAAGCACTGCCCAGTGAAACTCCTGCATGCAAATACCAGTCTGTTTCCAAGGTAACCAGAACAATGACAAAACGCAAACCAAAAAGAACATGGCTGAGGTCACTTGAGAAATATTAATGTCTTAATCCTAGAATTTTAGTAGACATTAGAATAGCCAGTAGTGCATCAAAATTAAAGAGTTACCTTACCTTTTGATACCAAATCAAAACCACAATGAGATATTACCTCATTAGAGATACCTGTTAGAATGGCTATTATCAAAAAGACAAATAAAAAGTGTGGGGGCACCGGGCTGGCTCAGTTGGTAGAGCATGCGACACTTGATCTTGGGGTTGTAAGTTCCAGCCCCACAAAGGGTATAGAAATCACTTAAAAATAAAATCTTAAAAAAATGAAAAGAAATAACAAGGGTTGACAAGGTGGTGGAGAAAAGAGAACACTGGTACACCATTAGAATGTAAATTGGTACAGCCACTAGGAAAAAGCGTATCGAGGTTCCTCAAAAAGTTAAAAATTGAACTATCATATGATCCAGCAATTCCACTTTGGTTGGAATTTAACTGAAAGAAACAAAAATACTAACTTGAAAGGACATCTGCACCTACTGCTGCCATGTTCAGTGCAGCACTATTTACCACAGTCAAGGCAATGGAAGCAACCTAAGTGTCCACGGATAGATGAATGGACACAGAGTGGAATATTATTCAGCCATTTAAAAAAAGGAAGTCCTGGGACACCTGGGTGGCTCAGTCGGTTAAGCGACCAACTCTTGATTTTGGCTCGGATCATGATCAAGCCCCATATCAGGCTCTATGCTGACAGTGTGGAGCCTGCTTGAGATTCTCTCCCTCCCTCTACCCCTTCCCTGCTCATAAGCACATGCGCTCTCTCTCTAAATAATTAAAAATGCAAAAAAAAAGGAAGTCTTGCCATTTGTGACACCATGAACAGACCCTGAGTTCACTCCCTAAGTGAAATAATTCAGAAAAAGACAAATATCATATGATGTCACTTGAATGTGGGATCTAAACAACAACAACAAAGCCATAACTCACAGATACAGAGAACAGTCTGGTGGTTGCCAGAGCAGGGGCAGGGAGTGGGCGAAATAGGTGAAGGTGGCCAAAAGGTACAATCCTCCCGTTATAAAATATAAATAAGTCCTGGGGAATGTAATGTGCAGCATGGTGAGTGTAGTAATACTCCCATGTATTGTACATTTGCATGTTGCTAAGAGAGCAGATCTTAAAAGTTCTCATCACAAGAAAAAAAATGTATAATATGTGGTGGTAGGTATTAACTAGATTTTCTGTGGTGATCATTTGTAATATATGTAAATATCATATCACTATGTTGCACTGCTAAAACTAATATAATGTTATATGTCACTTTTATCTCAATAAAAAAGTGGGTAATTTTTAAAAAGATATTCACTAATGCTATTCTGCTGGGTACTCAAAAGATACCATTATGGTCAAGTAAGAGTTACCCTAGCAAGCAACAGAAGGATGATTCAACATTAGGAAAAAAAATCTACCACTGAAATGCACCACATTAATAAGCTTAGACAGAAAACTCATATGATCATCCAATGCTAAGGAAAAATTATTTTGTAAATGTGAGCATGTGTTTATGACCAAGGTTCCTAGAAAACCAGAAATAGAAAGGAACTTCTTTAGCAATTACATGCCAGTCACCTATTTAATAGGGAAAGATTAAATACCTTCCCTTTAATATTATGAATAGGGGTACCTGGGTGGCTCAGTCGGTTAAGCGTCCAACTTCAGCTCAGGTCATGATCTCATGGGTCACAAGTTCAAGCCCCATGTTGGGCTCTGTGTGGACAGCTCAGAGCCTGGAGCCTACTTTGGATTCTGTGTCTCCCTCTCTCTCTGCCCCTCCCCCACTCATGCTCTGTCTCTCTCTCTCTCTTTCAAAAATAAACAAACATTAAAAAAAAAAATCAAAAACAGTATTATGAAATAAAACAATAGTGCCACTATCACCAGGCCTGTTAAACACAGGGTAAAGTCGGGGCGCCTGGGTGGCTCAGCTGGTTAAGCGTTCGACTTTAGCTCAGGTTATGATCTCACGGTTTGTGAGTTCAAGCCCGGCCCCGGGCTCTGTGCTGACAGCTCAGAGCCTGCAGCCTACTTTGGATTCTGTGTCTCCTTCTTTCTCTGTCCCTCCCCCACTTGTACTCTGTCTCTCAAAAATAAATAAGTATAAAAAAAATTAAAAAAAAAAAACACAGGGAAAAGTCTCATAAGGAGCTATCAGAAAATAAAAGTAAGCAAGTATAGCAAACTGGTTATTATACTAAAGTTAATTACTTTTTTATGTGTAAGTGACATAATGAGAAGGCAGTGGGTGGAAGAGACAAAAGTGTGTGTTTTGAACCAAGAAAGATCCAAGTTGTATTTTTGACCCATCTATATTCATAAAGCTGTGTGGCCTCTCTGAGCTTTGATTTCTTTTCTAAGCATTTACTAAATACCATCCAAATGCATAATCTGTGCTAGAATACACACAGCCAAGATGCTAAGCATACAACAAGCAAAGGTGGAGCCAAGAACAATTCCAAGGAGAGACCCCCTGACAACAGGCTTTGGCCTCCAGCAATGATTCTTGTTTCATTTATCAGGCATTGCCTCTGGGACAATCTGTTTTTCCAGCGCTGTTTTTTAATTGTGAAATACATACACACAACCTGTATCACAAAAAAGGTTTAAAGAACAATAAACATCTACCTCCCAACCACACAGCTTAAGAAAGTGCACTGCCTGGGGGCGCCTGGGTGGCTCGGGTCGGTTAAGCGTCCGACTTCCGCTCAGGTCACGATCTCACAGTTCGTGAGTTCGAGCCTCGCGTCGGGCTCTGTGATGACAGCTCAGAGCCTGCTTCACGTTCCGTGTCTCCCTCTCTCTCTGCCCCTTCCCTGCTCATGCTCTGTCTCCCTCTGTCTCAAAAATAAATAAACATTAAAAAAAA